TAGTTCAGTTTCAAATTGTTGATTACAATTTACACAGCTAACGGTCGCTTTGCGCTCGCGTACAATGACTTTCAATACGCAAATCTTACCGCAATTCAGCTACAAGAGAGTTTTCTTTTCAGAAACCCCTCAAAGTTCAATCGCAATGGGTGAATTTACAAGAATACATCACGCATTAACCTCTCTCCCGGGATCTTTATCTCGACATTTGCAGCGCATTGATATATTTAATGCATATCGAGTTTCGTGATGTATGCGGCATGCAAATAACGTAGATCTTCTAGCATCGGTAAATATAATGGAAATTACAAGAGGAAGGCAATCGATAACGAATATCGGTGTTTGCGGAGCACTATGGTGACTTTGTAAGTTCGTACGCGCGCGCACGGGTAGTTCCGATGTTTGAGCGATGGCCGGAGAGTCAAATATTATGCACCGCGTGGCAAATGGGCGCCGTGATCGAATGCATCTCTCTGGGACTTTCCACGGTCAAACACACATTTCTGATGAGAACTTTCAAGTGTTTTAATAAACGGCTTTTTACGAAGAGCGACGAAGTCGAGGGGCAAAGCCCTCCCTGGCCCCCTCGTCAATCGATACAGTACACTCGCGTTGCAATCTCATTCAACGGAGATCATGTAACATTTACGTATCTACTGTTTCTGATAGCGGCTATCGGATTTCCCGATTGCCATGTAAAGTGCATTACGTGCGAATGTGAGAGCGCGAGCGAATAAATATCTACTTTGGTCAAAATCTGCAATTAGGTCGTTAAAAAAAAAATAATTTATGCATTATGACGTAAATATTGCTTTCATCAGCAAATTTCGTAAAGTCTCTTTACACGCGGGCAGATGATGTATTTTACTATTCAATCCCGCAGCAGAGCTAATACTTATAAAATCCATGACGGATATTCCGTATAATCCCATCAGTCAGCGTTTATATAGACCTCAGACTTCTCGCTGATTCTCTCGTGATTCATGAGGTCATGCACCAACGCAACTAACAGAATCTCCGCCGTCAGGAATCAAGGCGATTACTTGCCCAGCGCGCGCACCGGCGTGTGCCGGGGAGAAAACGAAGTTTACGTCACGGATCGTATCCGATAACTCACGCGGATCCGAATCCGCCTCGACAGCACGTTATACAGAATTAATCAAACGGACGTAAACTGATATGAATTCCCTTTCGCTTTGAAGCGAAATTAATGGCGTCTTGCGCAATATCGCCCATAGTCAGGAGGTACAAGCGGATATATCGATAGTAAGTTACAGCCATTGAGAGAAGTTCGCGTTTGGGAGGGCTTCGCGGACACTGGCCGTGTTTGTTCGCAAGAAATACGACGTGGTCGCGTGTAACGGAAGAGAGAAATTAGATCCGGCGACAAAGGCAAGGAGCCTCTTGAGATAGTCCGAGAAAGGGTGCGAATGCATTCTAAAGTCACCGATACCTCTCGATATAAACGTGCTATTGATCGTGTTTGATATCAAAGCGTAATAAAAACACCTAGTTTGCAATTTAACTACCTATCGTAATAATTTTTTTTCTGAAAAAAAAAAAAACATTGAAAAACTGCAAATATACATTTTTTTTATTTTTAGAAAATTCTTTTATCATAAATGTAAAAACAATTATTTGCATTTAAAAATAATGATACAAAAAACAACTGCAAGATAGCTGCAAGTGAACAAAATTGAGATTAACGTTTAGAATATTTTAATAATCCTATAATGAGAATTAGAATATTAATCGCATGTCTAATAACAATATAATATGTATTATATATTATAAAAGGTACTGTGTGGCATATTCAATATTAGCTGCATTGATAATGAATTAATTAGTTATGGAATTGGATTACAGTAGTTTCTCTGATCAAGATATGTCGATCCGTGTAATATTCTGTGACACCGAAATAATTATACTATATTACTAATATTACGATTATTCCGAATACATGATTGTTATCGTGCGCGATAACAATTGTGAATTCTATCGTTCCAAAATTCGTTTAAATACAGATATTTTCACAAAACTGTTTGAGATCTCATTTGGTCAACAATCTCCTTATTGTGACTCCATAAATATGATTGTTGCCAAGTTTTGCTTCGTTATGCTATGCATTGCAGGCCGCAGGGATTAAAATTTCGTACGGACAGTACTTTCGTACGTTCGACGAAAGCGGCGAGAAATACCTCAAGTCAGTCTACGTTTTTTATTCGCGGTATATTGGACGCGTAAGGTAACAAGAGCAGGCAATACCATTAAGCGCGCGAACCGCCCATAAAAAACTTCGCAAACTCAATTCTATTGCTTCCCCAATTCCCGTCGTCCCGCTGTTTCTTCCTCGCGGGTTAACCGTTAGAATCGAGTCGGGACCCTTTCACGACCTTAGCAAAAAGTACCATCTCTTTTTCATCTAAAACGCGCAACTTCGTCCTGGCTTTGACTTCCTGTATTTTCGCGAGGTCACGTCTGTCTGCGCGAGCAAGGAGGCGCAAAAATTCATCTCGCGCAGTATGCGCTGCAAAGCACGTTTTCGCGCCGATTTTCCTAAAACAGAATTTACCTCATAGCGTGATATGTACAGATCCGCAATATTTTTCTATCCATTCGCAGAGACAGTTTTCAACATGTTTTTCAGGGTAATACACACAAAACTAACTTTACGAAGAATATCAGCGATATAATATTTGCAATAAAAGAGTTTTTCCATGTTCTACAAGCGTGCATGATTGTAGATATAGCGCAAAATACATCATCACTTTATCTTTTTAGTAAAAAACATGGAAAATTCGCAATGCTTTTATTTAATTAAACTAATAATTGATTATAAAAAGAAGATAATTATATAAATAGATTATAAATCTCGATATTTGTGTTACATTTTGTAAGATGCTCTTTTTTTATATTCTTTTACGTTTTTTATATACACGTAAAAATACGTATATAAATCACATGCCATAATGTCCGTTGCACTTAACTAATGACATTTTAATATAATGGAGCGTACGCGGCAATAGGAAAATTAATTGCACACATGGAAATACGATTTATTGCAAATAAACGTCATGATACTAATTACCGATACGCCTTCACTGCAGCACGCGCATATTACAGAGATAATCGATTAATCTTTCTGACAAACAGTCGATCCTCGCATGATTTCCAGCGACAAGATACAACAGCAGATATCGTGACAACTATAATTTATATTCATCGCAAACATCGTACAATGATCGTAAACATGGGAAAATGTACACACATAGTTTCACGCGAGGCTTCATACATGGACGTGTTTTCGGGCGACTAACAACGTTTGACATGTAACAACCGATACCCAACGATCTATGTGTATCGGTATGGGAATTTATGATCCCGGCTTTATCGCTTTTCTTGGGAAAGCACAACTCAAACTTCTTGACGGTCTGAATGTATTGGAACTTCATGCCGCCTTTGAATTTTTCATGATATAAAAAGACGTGTACGTGTGTATGCGTTCATGTGCGGGAGCGTCTTGTGTCAGACAGCGTACGAGGATAGATTGCGCCTAGGTGGATCGGAAGAATTACAGCGAGTATATACTTTGCGATCCTATCGCGCGAAGAAACTGCCAATTATAATTTTACACTCGAGCCTGTGCGCGAAAGATTTCCCGGTATTACGCTTTTAACGTATTTATATGCATTTGCATAAATTAAATTTACAGCGTAATGATAAAGGATTGATTTAAAATGCGGAATTTCAAATTCTCGAATGTTTAATTTCGCGCATACATTTGCGCATTATTACCTTTTTCAATGAAAATATGATATCTGATGGGTGAAACGGACGTCAAGTTTGATGCCGGATTCGCTTCGCAGGAAATTACTGGAGATACTCGCGGCGGGGCATACGCGGAAATGGATTCCTTGTAGTTTACTTTGATCGTGCACATATTAACAAAAAATCGTGCAAAACATGTTCCTCTCCTTCGGTGCGTTCAGAAAGAATAGAATTTTTAGATATAATCTCCGCTCCGAACAATTGCGAATAATCCTTTTGTCATCAATTGTCAGGATAATTGGATTGGAAAGTTCCTCTTCGCAAATGACTACGACTCTGTACCTTATTGTACTTATACGGGGAGAGAAATATATTACTACTCAGTATTTGCGAGCTCTTGCTGCTCTTCTTCGGCGGAGTAACTGCTGTTTGGCGGCCTGAATGTATGGCAGCTTGTCACGATACCGCATGAATTCCCAACGGTACGCCGCGATCTTGCCGATCATTTGCGAGGAATAATATCTGCCGAGAGAATCGCGTAGCTGCCAATAATAGCGTATAAACGGGTTGATCGACCGACAGGCCAATTTCTGCCGTCTTCTCGCCCGGAATATTTGTTTTGCGAGGAGACTGTCTGACGTCGAATCGTATTCACTGATTGTACGGGCCGATGCATTATTTAAAATTAAAAAAAAAAACAATAAACTCGTCCCGCCGTCTTTTACAAACACACGAATCTAGAGAATTTATTCCACGAGACAATTTTGTAGCTCTATAGGCAATCGTCTTCGATGCGCTTTCGATGTTTTTGTCAATGGACGATGCGAAACGAATGAATATTGTGACGGGTTGTGAGAGATAAACGGCAATACACAACCCAATCATTTTTTATTATTTTACTTATGACGCAGTTTTGCATATTAAAATAAATCATATATGTGCTACATACTACATGCATGCAAAACGTATTAGCAAATATTCATTCCTGTTACACTATATGCATTGCAATCTATATACATATAATCATGTGACTAATTGCGTCTAATGTACATGTATCCAATTAAGTAAGCATTAAATGATTAAACACATATTAGTGTTTAATAACTTAATACATATATAATTGAATATTTGTTTAATAATAATGGTAATGTATAAAGAAGCGTTTGTAAGACATAAACGTTTAAAGAACAAACGCAATACATTGATCAATGTTATATCACAAGCACACTTACATGGCGCTACGGGTGTCAGGTATGTCACGATTGCTCGGAAGACCATCGGAGGCTTCCTGATTGAATTTATTCCTGGCGTATGGGTCCTCGCCCGCACGTAGACCACCTCTTGAAACGTACCTGTTGCACAAAGAAAATTATTGCCGCTGAATTTCTCGTTATTTCTTCTGAAATCTCCCGTCAAACTTGGAATTCGGGTTTTACGCGTGTCTGCCGTCCGTTGAAACGATCGTGCCATAAAACGCGACGCCCATCGTATAACGATTATAACGGCACGTCGGCTATAATTGCGGACAGCAATGTCGATGCGAATGGCGTGGAGAATGAAACATTCCAATATAATATAGCAATAACACGCGCGCGCGCGCGCGGATGTGTCCCGACGGTGCGCGATACAATGCAAGTTTCCAGTCGGCGGAAAGTTAATGGATCGTTGCAAAAGAATCGCGAAGATAAAACAGGTGCTTGCGCCGACTGCGCGAAATAATTAATGCCAATGTTCCAACTTCGGACTGAAGACGGAAGTCTCGAATGCAGCCGAATCAATATTGCATCCGCGAATGCCTTCTGAAATGCCTAGAAGCTCTCTCGGATCGACGCTGAAAATACGCTCGCGAGTGAATGAATGATGTTCAAGGTACATATCGCGAAGCTAATAACAGCGAAGGAAGATCACCGTCCTGACTTACCCCTGCTCGTCAAAGTAATTCCACGTCACCCTCGGATCCGGGGTCGGTGCTGGCAGAAGCTCGGATGACATTACAATGGCCGTGCCGTCTGGATCCATGTAGCCGCCGGAATTTCCGCTGGCGGAAAGCGCCAGGGACGCAGGCTCCTTCAGCCGTAAGGCTCTGTTCTCGTTCTGCAAAAAAAAAAAGATTATTTTCAATTAGAACTTGTCACATTCGTATTACTATGGACGTAGTTATTAAAAGTTATGCAGCTTGACAAGTCTATCGGAACTTTCAATAATTCTTAACTGACACGAAATTGTTGCGTCAGCTCGATCATACAATAATCGAGTGCGTTACTCGAGGGGAACTTTGTTGAAAATTTGCAGTCGGTAAACGTTCGTTGTCATTCTATAAATAAATTTCCATTAATTTGAGAAACTCTACGCGCTTCTCATTGTCAGACTATACCGCCGATACGTTCGAAATACCGTTAACTGTATTTCGCAATATAATGCAGTTACGATATATCCGTTCTCGTTGAACACATCCCGCCGCCCAAGCAATTCCGAGATCGACGGGGATGGTCCCGAGCCCTTTGTACGTAACTCGGCCTCAGCCTCCTCGCTTGGACCACTTGGCTTCGGCGCACGAGTCAATTGTAAGGCAAGACGGTCTGGTCTCTGCGTATTGACACATCATCGATATACGCCGCGTATTGATTTCGAGTCGCTATAGAGTCTACGAGGGTCTTCGTATCGCAGTCGCATTGTGCCTTTGCCGGTGGGCTGTATTGTGCCGTCGATATATAGGTCATCGAACTTCGCTCATCAAGTTTCCGGAGACGCATCCCTCTCGCGCGGGGATTCGTTCTTCGCGATACCGGAGATTTTCCGCGACATTTCTGGAGATAAGAGCGTACATTTTCACGGGCACACGACGCCGGCACGTACGAGAATTGCGGCGTTACGTGGACAAACTTAAAATCGTTCTCACGTTCTTACGGGAGAAAATGTAAACGTGACGATCGGCAACGTTACCGCGGTGCATGGACCACTTTCAGTCGGATTACTTTCGAACACTCGTGGCTTAACAATGGATGGAATATTCGAATAGACGATAACCGTCTCGCACGTTATTATTATTCAGTAATCTGCGTTTTTATTTTTTTTCGAATACGTGCGCCATTAATTTTTAAACAATCTATTGCTTAGAATTTTTTTAAATCTCGCGATCATACAATATTCGAGAGACTCAACTGCGCGTTCAAACAAAACGACGAAGATTGTCGGATCAATTGTCGAACAGCAGAATGGACGCAGCAGCCGGAGAAACGGTAGTGAGCGCCTTGAGACCTATAGAGAGTAAGCGTGATAAGTGCGTTTTGCACCCGAACCATTAATGCATTGCATTGTACGCTGAAGCGGGCGAGCTACCGTTAATTTCACCGCGATTCTTCTCCGTCGGAAGCGCGCCCTCCCTTCCCTTCCCGCCCACGACTACAATCCAAATGGCAGCATTTTCCGCGAGCACGGATCGTTAACCTTACGACGTCGATCTCACGCGCGAAAACATCCAGCAAGAGGAAGCGAATAAAGCGAAGAAGTATAAAACGTTGGGCGTGACAGCCGATGAGGCGCCGCTAAAAAGGGGGAGGAGGGAGGGAGGAAAGAGCGCAGAAAACGTAGTGCGGCCAAAGGCAATGCAACCGTGATGAAATATTAATTCACGGGTCAACGATCGAATCGCGACCGGAAGCGCAGTCGGATGGTCAGTCTGCGGGCAAGCTGTTGCATCCGGTTCCACAGTCAGCGGTGGTGTCCCGTCCACGTGACGAACACCCACATTGTCGCATAAAACTCGCACGAAGTGCCCCGCGTATCAGTTCACCGAGAGGGTTGAGCGTAAAAGTGGCGTGAATCAATATTTTTATTGTTTTAACTCACACCTTCTCCACTCCTTTCGTCACACAATCGCACACGCGCGAATCCATATGCCTATAGAAGCAAAGGAAAAAAGATTTTATATATCTAATTGCGCAACCGTCAAACTGAACGTTGATTCAATTGTGTGACTCCGTCGTACGTCGTTACAATTGCGTAATTATACCGCGTCACATCGAAATTGACAAATTCATACCAGCGACATATTGGTACTATTAGCACTGCCAGTAATATCGGATTCCGGTAAAGGCAATCTAATAACGTCGTGCTGTAGGTTTAACCGTGTATGTAATGTAATACTATTGCAAAGATATCGCATTGAGGTGATCCAGAGTTTAATGTGTCTTCAATTTGAAAGTTCTCATCCAATCGGAGAAATTGGTAATTGGATAATTACACGTAGTTACATTTTAATCCGTACAATTATAAAATATATATGTATACTTAAATTAATTTATACATTCAGCAATTTGCAGTAATTTTAAATTCAACAATTTGCTGAATTTGTAGACTATTTAATTAACTAAAATCGTTAAAACTAACAACATCTCGGGAATTTTCTCAGAAAATGAAAATATTGAATGTAATTATATTGTATATATATATATATATATACAATAATGTCCAAAATAATATGTATATATATACATATATATATATACATATTATTTTGGACATATCTCATATTTTATTTAATATTATCAATATCATAGAATACTCTAATTACACTAATTGTGAACTAACCGGCCATGTCGCAAATGAAAAAAAATGTATCGTTTTTCAAGATTGTTTTTTATTCTTCTCCGTATTTTTCAAACACATTTTTCTTTTGTTGATTTTACAGGCACAACTGTTAGCGCCGCGGAGTATACTTAATATTTCTTTTTGCGGAACGAAAGCGATGAACGTGACTCCCATAAAGTTCATTGCATATACGCCGATATAATGATACGCGAAACACCGGAAGCGCCTTCTGATGCATATATAGCGTTCGAACAATAGCCGCGCGGAGAAAGGGGAGAATTGCAACGCTTGTTACAAACGAACTCGCGGCGGAAGTATGAAAAATGTTATAAAAACGTGTAATAAAAAGAAGAAGCGAGAAATAGGGCATGTCGAAGATGGATTCGTTGCGGACTTAAGGCTTCGAATAATGATTAGACTTGATTTATGCCATTTATCGATGTAACAACACTATTTGCCATCGCGGAGTCGCATATAGTTTGTAACGGTTTCTTGATTCTCTTATCTTCTGTCGTCGGGAAATCCACTGCGTGCAATGTACATTTAACATTCTTACTTTATTCGGAGGGGAATTCCCTCCGGAGATTAAGAAGAGTTTAAGAGGCAGCTTGGAGAACAACAAGAAGACACTTTCCTCCTCGCCTCTACGTTAAAGAAACCAAGTTAAAACTTAGCCAGTTAGCATTCGATAATGTTATTTACGTGCGTAATTGCCGCGAAACTTCGTAGCGTCCGTTGTTGATCGACTTACGTCGATTTGCACGGCGCGCGCTTTAACTTCTTTAAATATGCATTGACCGAGAGAGAGAGAGCGAGAGCGAGAGAGAATGCCGTGATTCGCGCGCCGGGCGTTAATTTGTCATTGTCACGACACTTTCTCGACTTGATAGCGCGCGCGATGTACTTAGATACAGTTTGCCAAAGTTATATTATTCCCGAGGTCAGCAGGCGATTAACGTCAATGAAATGATACTAAGTTTCACGCGTTTTTATCAATTCGTGGTTATCAATCAATTTACGTAACAAGTTTTCAGTATAACAATGTAGAGAATCTTCTCAATCTTATATTCTTCAGCTGATCGAGAGATTCAGATTTTGTGCGCATTATATTCCCACCTTTCGAAAATGAAATACGATAACGTTATCGGTAACATTTATCTTGCTATACTAATAACGAGAACCGTCTGATCTCTCCAAAATATCATAGTGCGCAAAATATCATAGATAAAAGATTTTATCATTCAACATTCAAAGGATCGTTACCGGCACGGTTTTACGATGAATGAGGAAACAGCGTATATGTCATTCCTCATTATTGTTCTGTATTATCTCGCCGAATAACCGAAATCGATCGGCGCAATATTGCCAAGGTACGTGATTTCACGATTATTATCGACGAGGGTGGCATTATTAATGCGGTTATTGCCGTGGAGCATGTGTACGCTGTAATGTAAGCCAGTTACTGACATATTATTATTAGGCCGCTTTGATACGGGCACATGAATTGATGAAAAGAGCTTCATCACATCACGATAACGAGGCGTGGCCATAAGCGCGAAGTCACAGAAAATTATTTATTTATAACTGTTTGATTAATTGCAATTTAGATATGTAATATTCCGGTTTAATCCTTCTTTGATGAAGATAATTATATCATTTCAATAATTGTATTATTGGATCAATTGGGACAATTATATCAGTTAAGTTGCGATATAATACAAAACATGTAAGATGTTATATCGCTTTGCACTTAAAGATATATTTTTAAGAAAACTTAACGCATATGTTTCTTGACATAATTTTTATAGGTTTCTTATATATAGTTTCTTTAGAGAAAGTGTATATTTACAAAAATATAAGTAGACAAACAGAAAGAACAAATTAACTACTAGAGAAAAAAATTCAGTTGTAATATGAAAATGAGCGACATCATAAAACAGATGAGATACTACGGATCTTCTTGTCTTTATTGCAACGTGCCACTTCTCCATTTCTATCAATCATCAAGTTTCATATATTGCATATCATGTATAACGTTGCTTTCCACTTTCTTACTATTCATTTCATATTCATATTTAAAAAACTGAAGGCAGTCTTTTTACGATCCATTGGAGATCAAAACCAAGAAAGCTAAGAGATAATCTCTGAGGTTGGCAAAAGATAACGTACGTAGATACATTTCCATGGTCATTTTACTTATATAAGAAAAGAATATATTATTTTTATTCCCAAGATAGCTTGTCCGATTTCTTTGATATTTTATTTTCTGAAAACATCTTAAACAATGCTTTCTTTTATGTAAACCTTTTTAGACGTATTATGCAAGGTAAGACGCTAAAAATAAGGAACACAAAATAGCACATTCAACATTATTATAAATAAAATTATTAAAATTTAAAACTTTTTATGCTCTGTTAAAAAATTATACAGAGTGTTCTCGGATTAAACCGCCAAACTTAAAACATGAATTTATGACTTTAAAATGAACAAAATTTTCCTGTGAA